CTGAAGTGCCATCTGTTGAGGACGTACTGAAGGTGCTCCGGAGTCTGAGACCAGGAAAGGCAGTTGGCAGAGATGATCTCCAAAGCGAAATGCTGCGGGAGGGTAACGTTTGTGCAAAGACTGCCCTATATGGCATCATAACAACAGTCTGGACCACTGGACGGGTTCTGCAGGATTGGAAGGATGCCCTGGTGGTCCCCCTCTTTAAGAAGGGGGACCGCACAGACTGTAACAACTACAGGGGCATCTCACTCCTCAGTGTGCCGAGAAAGGTCCTGGCAAGGATTATTCAACATCGCCTTGCCAGGCACGCTGAGGAGAGGCTTGCGGAGCCCCAATGCGGTTTCAGGAAAGGGCGGTCCTGCACAGATGCCATATTTTCTGTCCGTCTGCTACAGCAGAGGTGTAGGGAATTTAAGCAAGACCTACATCTCTACTTTATTGACCTGGTCAAGGCCTATGATACCATCAGTAGGCCTGGGCTCTGGGTTGTTCTTCGTGCCTTTGGAGTACCTGACCCTCTGCTCACGATCATTAAGGACCTTTATGATGGTGAGCGGACCTGGGTAAAACTACGTGGCCGGGAGTCAGAGCCATTCCCTGTACACCTTGGGGTGCGACAGGGATGTCCTCTGGCTCCCACATTATTTAACATCTATTTTGACCAAGTAGTTCGTGAAGCCTTCAATAGCTGTACCGGGGGAATCTCCATTTGGTACAGATATAATGGGAGGCTGATCGATTCCCAGGTGCGGTCAAGGGATGGCTCCCTATTGCTCAACCACGTTATGTATGCCGATGATTTGGTAATAGCTGCTCATTCAGAGGAGGAGTTGGAGACGCTGCTGCTGAGACTGGAGCGTGCCACTAAGAGATGGGCCCCTTACCATCAGCCCCACCAAAACAAAGCACCTGCCTGGGTATTTTGTACCATCGGACACTCCACCCCCACAACTCCCAATTGGTGATGGGGCAGTTGTGGAGAGAGGGGAGAGTTTCCCATACCTGGGCAGTGTGCTTATGACCAGCTCCAGTTTAACAGCAAAGGTCTCAATCCGAATCAGTCGAGCGGCAATATCTTTTCATCGGTTGCGTAAAGGTTTGTGGAAGCTACCTGGTCTATCGCTCCGCACTAAGCTTCAGGTTTTCTCGGCCACGGTCATTCCCTCTTTTCTCTACGCTTGCGAAACATGGACCCTCCTAATGGAACATCTTCGCCGGTTAGAAACATTGAGGCTAGCCTGCCTACGATCCATCCTGGCTTTATCCAGGCTGGATTGTGTGAGGAGCTCACAAATCTTTGAAAGATCTGGGCAAGGTCCCATCGGTGAGCTCCTCTGGCAGGTAAGGCTGCGTTGGCTGGGTCATGTTGCCCGCATGCCCAGCCACCGCTTGCCGAAACAGCTTTTGTTCGGCCGGATCGAGGGGGCTAAACGGGCGCGGCACGGGCTAGAGAAGAATGGAGTGCCGTGGTACAGGAGGACGTGGAGCTGAGTGGACTTGCCGATGACTGGTACCAGCGGTGTCAAGATCGGCCTCTGTGGAGGAGGCTCGTGAAGGACGCTACTGGGCAGTTGGAGGCAGTCGCCCTCCAACAACAACGGAGGGCGGAGGAGCGACGCTCACAACAACGAGCAGAGCGCCGGGTGGCTAAAGCACAGCAGGTTGGCACAGTAGAGGGCACAGGTGGTGCATCAGCCAGTCATCTCAGTCATCTCAGTCAGTCGACCCGTGGCACTTGGGTCTGCCCCGTGACCTCCTGCCAGCGGGCGTTCGACACTTCACGTGGCCTCAGGGTGCACATGGCCTGGCACAAGCGTCGTGGTGACGTCACCGTCACTTCGTGGCGAATGGCGGTTGTTGTTGTTGTGTGTGCGTGTGTGTGCACGTGGCTTCATGGTGTCCACTCTGGCACAGTTGCCAGTGGCTGTGCCCCTTTGCTTCAGAGCCACGTGGGGGTGGGGGGGGGGAGGGGGGGCGCCGTGCGATCTCCCGCAACACATCTTCGCGAGCAAAAGCAGAATTGGCGACGTTTCCGTATTTGCTCGCGAATGCTACCGAGATAATGCTGATCAATACGACACTGATAATCATCAATACGACAATGATGATCAATATGACCATAATAATGATCAATATGACAATAATAATGACCATGATCAATTTGACAAAAAATTGTGATACGACAATAACAATATTCATCAATACGACAATAGTGACCAATATGACACTAATAACAACGATGAATATGATCATGATCAATACGACAATAATTCCTCACATCGCACGTATTGATTTAACACCACGTGCTGTAATACATGACGCGCGAACTCCCTCCCGATGGAGCGGCTCCGAAATGAATCAACAAAAATAATAACAATATGAATACATAAACACGCGGCGCAGCTGCTACGAATGCTTGCAGCACGTGGCTATTCGTCTCGCAAGGAGCGCTCACGTTTTGTTTTTGAGAGCCACATCGTGGCTCCTCGCGTGTGGCCAACGCTGAGCTCCATCTCTGTGAGAAACGACTGGCGCAGTGTGCAGGCGGTGCGACTGCGCTGTAGAGCACCAACCAGCTGTGGGCTCGGGCGCTACGAGCCATTGGTGGCATCACACACGAGCGGCTTGGATCCTCATCGAGCGTCGTTGTCATCACACGTGGGGATTTATAGCGGCAGGTCATCATCCAAAACTCTCGTTTCGTTTCCAAATGTGGAGGGAGAAAAAAACCGGACGACCCCGAGGAAGAAATCCACGACACCACAGGGTGAGAGAGAGAGAGAGAGAAAGAGAGGACGCGTAAACTCCAAATACACAACAGCAGGCAGCGTTTGGGCCCGGGATCGGAACCCACGACCTCCTGTGTGCCAGGCGAGAGAGATGTGGTTGGGGGGGGGGGGGCAGCGTTGAATTCCAAAGCGCCCCCGTGCCACCGGCGTGCGCGTGCTGGAGAGGGGAGCGTTCTGCCGCGGTGCGAAGGGTTAATGATGAGAGAGCTCATTCAAATGTGTTGGCGTCCGCTCGCAGCGACCTGGCAAGCACAATTCATTTTGCATCGCGAGCACGCCGCGAAATAAATGGAGACGCGCGCCCGGCCAACACCGCTCGTCTCTCTGTTCATCATGGGCCGTCGTCAGCCACGATCAATCCACTGCCGGATGAAGGCCTCCCCGAGCCACCGCCACCACCTCTCGTGATCCAGAGATGCAACAATCCACCTGCAGCACCTGCACGTGAGATGATTTCACCGCTCCATATCCGTGGTGGTCGCGCACTTGGAAGTGTCAAATGGGTAAAGGTGTTTTTTTTTTCTTTCTAAATCGAAGATTTTATTTCCCATCAAATAAGTTGGGGTGCATCTTACCAATCTGTAAACAAAGCAGCAATGCTTAATAAAAATAAAAAATATAAATCAAATCCCATTCAAGCATTGTGAAGGGCCATTGCATGAAACGTCGCCTATATGAATATATATTTTCAGGGGCCGCAACGTAATTGATTAATGTGTTGAGCTTTCGATTTAAAGCTTTCGTGATTGCAGGGATTCATATTCTTGGTTCTTTCGGTAAAGTCATATTTTTATTATTTTATTGTTTCCCTTCTACGTGACTTTACCGAAAGAACCAAGAATATGTTGAGCTTTCGTTATTAGTGTCCAGTCGGCTCGACGAGAATAAGAGTGCTCGGCAATATATCGAAGTGTCGCCGTGACATTTCAGGAAATCACTGCCCAGCTTGATTATCAAATGGCTGCGTATTACCGGGTCGGCCGATTGCCGCGGTTTTTGTTGGCGAGGATTCCGCCCGCTCCTCTCTCCGCACCCCCCCCCCCTCCACTCCGCACCCCCCCCTCCACTCCGCACCCCCCTCCACTCCGCACCCCCCTCCACACAGCACAACCCCCCGCTCCGCGCCAATCCCACGCTCGAAGGCAGTGGTCGCGCAGCAGCAGCAGCAGGGAGCAGGGAGCAGCTCTCCGCTCCGAGGGCTTGGTCCCGCGCTTCGAGCTCGGCGGCGTATGGACGGCGGCCTCTCGTCGGAGCTTTCCGTTCATCCCCTTCTTGTTGTCTTGGGGGGGGGGGGGCGGGGGGCACATTCGCTCCGTCGCGCGCGCGATGCTCAAGCAATCCCAGAGTGGAGTTTTGTGTTTTGTTTTTAAAGGTGAAACGCTCGAGCGTGGCACGCAGACTTGCGAGGCCGACCTGAAAGAGCGTTCCCAAAGACCCTTAGCGTTGGCAGCTGCCGATACCGCTCAGCAGACTCCAACTAGCCGAGCAGTTTGAGTGCTGTCCTGCTTAAAAATGAGCTTCGCGGCATTTGCACCTCCGATCAGCGCGGTTGGCTATGCACGGTGCGAAAGAAGCTCACCGCACGTGTACACTGGTGCCCATCTCCTGTTTACAGTGGTGGAAAAGTTCCTCGTTCCTATGGCCGGGGGGTGGGGGGGGCTGAGACTCTCCGTAAGAGGACAGCCAGGGTGAGTGCCATGTTTGTCTGTCGCAGGTAGAGAGACCGTGATGTATGTATGCAGGAAATCGGGAGATCGAGCGTCGAGCCGCTGTCAAATCGATGACGATGGAGATCAAACGGAATCGAATAAAATTCGCGAGCCCTCGTTCGAAGCGTGCTGGGGGGGGGGAGAGGGGTTATGGAGGGTGTAGGGGGGGGACACAAATCTCCCATCGTGCGCTGCTCCAGTCACCACAAACGAGGGCCGCGGAAACTTCGTCGCGACAGAAAAACAGACTCGGACTGTCGGAGCCGAGTCGCAAGGGTCAGGGCGGTGGCCCGTGACTTCGGCGGGTTGGGAACAGCGCTCGAGGCCGCGTGGGGACGTGGCGATTTGTGAAAAGGCTGCAGCCCTCCCTCCACCTGCGCACGGAGTCGGCTGACACCGCCGCTGGTCGTTCGCGTGCGATCAGCGCACCGCGCGTGCGAGCGTCTTTGACTTGACGCCTTCCCGACCCCCATCACGATCTTGCCCCTTCCCCCCACAGTGGAAACGTCCGGCTTCTGCCGACAGCCAAGAGAGTCGAGCGAGAGCGCTCCGCGGGAGAGACGCCTGGCGCGCCGACTGCATGGGGCTGTGCGAAGGGCGCCGTGCACGTTGAGCGCACGGCACGCGAAGGTCTACCAGGCTCGCCTCGCGGCGGACATCTGGGAGCGCCGCCGCTGGGTTCTGCGTGGCAACGCGCCCCCAGCGCTCGATTCAAGAGCTGTGCGGGCCACCGCTGTCAGCAGGAACTCGCACTTCCTGCCTCGTCTCCAGACCCGGTCTGCCAGTGACGTCCCCGCGTGTTTCCCTAATCGAACGTAAAGAATGACGTGAGGATGACGTTGGGGATGATGATGATGATGAGTGTGATGATAGTCAAGATGATGTTGACGGTGATGTTGCTGATGATTATTTTGGTGGTGGTGATGTTGATGTGGATGATGAGGCTGATGGTGATGATGGCGAGGATGTTGAAGATGACGTGTGAGGACGGCGAAGCTCGCGACGATTGTAAAGGCGATGTAGATGGTGCTGATCAAGGTATTATTTGGGTGATGGTAGTGCGAATGGTGGTGATGATTGCGAGCTGCAGGAGGCTGAAGGAAAAGTTATTTTCTGGGAGAAATTGGAAAACTCGAAGAACAAAGTAAGAAATGCGTTGTTGAAGAAGCTGACTTTAGAAATCACGCCTTATCGGCGTTTGACGCTTGTTATAATACGTCGGGCTCAAAACTTTGTGCAGATAAACTGTTTTTTCTTTTCCGAATTTCAGAAATAAGATTGAAAAAAATATTATATTAGTTTTTGGTTCGGTGAGAAACATGATTAATTTGTGTTCGTTTTTTTGTATTATTATAAACTACTTCTGCAAAGTACAATCTCGGTTCCCACCAACTCTTGTGGTGACTAATCTTACCTGCTGAGAGCCTGTACACAGTGACACACACACACGCACACGCGCACACAACGACAAAGATCCCCCGTGAAGCCTTAACACACCGTTGGGGCAAGTGCTGTTTGCGTGTAGCAGCACCTATGAAGGCCCGCTCGGTACACGAGGGGGTGTGTGGCCAGCACCATGCACAGCCGCCTTTGTCTCCCCAGTGACTATGTATATACATCGCGCCAGGAACTCATTTAAGGTTGAGTCGACCTTGGGGAAACCCAGGACCGGTTCGATTATTTGCCACTGGTATTGGTCGTGAGCAGGAATCGGACTCGGGACGTGGGGTTCGCTAACCACTGCGCCACTGCTCCCCTGCACTAGTGTATAAAGACACACACGCACAGGCACCCACTCTACACACACGCACAGGTACCCACTCAACACACACACAGACACCCACTCAACACACACACAGGCACCCACTCTACACACACGCACAGGCACCCACTCAACACACACGCACAGGTACCCACTCGACACACACACACAGGCACCCACTCGACACACACACACACAGACACCCACTCAACACACACACGCACAGACACCCAGCCTACACACACACAGGCACCCACTCGACACACACGCACAGGCACCCACTCTACACACACACGCAGGCACCCACTCAACACACACACACACAGGCACCCACTCAACACACACGCACAGACACCCACTCGACACACACGCACAGACACCCACTCGACACACACACACAGACACCCAATCTACACACACACACAGGCACCGACTCGACACACACACAGGCACCCACTCGACATACACACACACAGACACCCACTCAACACACACACGCACAGACACCCACTCGACACACACACACGCACAGGCACCCACTCTACTCACACACGCACAGGCACCCACTCAACACACACACAGGCACCGACTCGACACACGCACACAGGCACCGACTCGACACACACACACAGGCACCCACTCAACACACACACGCACGCACAGGCACCCACTCGACACACAACAACAACAACCGCCATTCGCCACTAAGTGGCGGTGACGTCACCACGACGCTTGTGCCAGGCCATGTGCACCTTGAGGCCACGTGAAGTGTCGAACGCCCGCGGGCAGGAGGTCACTGGGCAGACCCAGGTGCCACGGGTCGACTGACTGAGATGACCGAGATGACTGGCTGATGCACCACCTATGCCCCCTTCTGTGCCAACCTGTTGTGCTTTAGCCACCCGGCGCTCCGCTCGTTGTTGTGAGCGTCGCTCATCCGCCCTCCGTTGTTGTTGGAGGGCGACTGCATCCAACTATCCAATAGCGTCCTTCACGAGCCTCCTCCACAGAGGCCGATCTTGACACCGCTGGTACCAGTCATCGGCAAGTCCACTCAGCTCCACGTCCTCCTGTACCACATCACTTCATCTCTTCTCTAGCCCGTGCCGCGCCCGTTTAGCCCCATCGATCCGGCCGAACAAAAGCTGTTTCGGCAAGCGGTGGCTGGGCATGCGGGCTACATGACCCAGCTAACGCAGCCTTGCCTGTCGGAGGAGCTCATCGATGGGACCTTGCCCAGATCTTTCAAGGATTTGTGAGCTCCTCACACAATCCAGCCTGATTAAACCCAGAATGGATCGTAGGCAGGCCAGCCTTAATGTTTCCAACCGGCGAAGATGCTCCATTAAGAGGGTCCACGTTTCGCAAGCGTAGAGAAGGGAGGGAATGACCGTGGCCGAGAAGACCTGAAGCTTAGTGCAGAGCGATAGACCAGGTAGCTTCCACACAGCGTTACGCAACCGATGAAAAGATATTGCCGCTCGATTGATTCGGAGTGAGACCTCTGCTGTTAAACTGGAGCCCGTCATAAGCACACTGCCCAGGTATGGGAAACTCTCCACTCTCTCTACAACTGCCCCATCACCGATTGGGAGTTGTGGGGGTGGAGTGTCCGATGGTACAATATACCCAGGCAGGTGCTTAGTTTTGGTGGGACTGATGGTAAGGCCCCATCTCTTAGTGGCACGCTCCAGTCTCAGCAGCAGCGTCTGCAACTCCTCCTCTGAATGAGCAGCGATTACCAAATCATCGACATACATAACGTGGATGAGCAATAGGGAGCCATCCCTTGACCGCACCCGGGCATCGATCACCCTCCCATGATATCTGTACCAAATGGAGATTCCCCCGGTACAGCTATTGAAGGCTTCACGAACTACGTGGTCAAAATAGATGTTAAGTAATGTGGGAGCCAGAGGACATCCCTGTCGCAGCCCAAGGTGTACAGGGAATGGGTCTGACTCCCGGCCACGTAGTTTTACCCGGGCCCGCTCACCATCATGATGGTCCTTAATGATCGTGAGCAGAGGGTCAAAGACTCCAAAAGCACGAAGAACAACTCAGAGCCCAGGCCTACTGTTGGTATCATAGGCCTTGACCAGGTCAATAAAGCAGCGATGTTTCTCTTGTTGGAATTCCCTTCACCTCTGCTGTAGCAGACGGACAGAAAATATGGCATCTGTGCAGGACCGCTCTTTCCTGAAACTGCATTGGGGCTCCGCAAGCCTCTCCTCAGCGTGCCTGGCAAGGCGATGTTGAATAATCCTTGCCAGGACCTTTCCCGGCACACCGAGGAGTGAGATGTCCCTGTAGTTGTTAGAGTCTGTGCGGTCCCCCTTCTTAAAGAGGGGGACCACCAGCACATCTTTCAAATCCTGCGGAACCCGTCCAGTGGTCCAGACTGTTGTTATGATGTCATATAGGGCAGTCTGTGCACAAACGCCACCCTCCCTCAACATTTCGCTTGGGAGATCATCTCTGCCCGCAGCCTTTCCTGGTCTCAGACTCCGGATCGCCTGCAGTACTTCCTCAACAGATGGCACTTCAGTCCATCACTCACAGAGGGTGACTTCTTCCAATATTTGAGGCACCGCAGCCTCAGCAGGGTCATCCTCACTTTGTGCCACGATGATTTCCTGGCTAAGGGATTCTCCCTCCCCCAGGAACTCACAGAAATGCTCAGCAAATCTGCAAACCTGTTCCTGGGGGTCGGAGATTGGAACACCAATTTTTTCCCCTAATGATGTAATAGGTGTGGCGCTGCCGGTTACTTTTTTGATGGAGTTAAATAGAGATTTGTAATCGCGGGCCACTGAGGCAGACTCCATCTCCTCAGCAACCCGCGACCACCACCCATCCTTGCAGCGTCTCACGGCTCTCCGCACCTCCGAGCGAAGGCTGGGGTAAGCCTCCTCATTCTCTGACGTGGGATTCTGTAGCCGATGACAGTAGGCCTGTCGCTTTTTCTTAACCATCCTGAACACCTCCTCTGTCAGCCAGGGTCTCTGGGGAGGTCTGGACCGCGTACCCAAAGCAGCCATTGCAGCTGCATTAGTCACAGTCCTAAACCTCGCCCATTTACCCTCGACATCAGGAGGAGTGGGGGACGATGCCAACCCCAGCCGCAAGCGATGATGAAATTCTCGCTTGCAACTTTCATCAGATAACTGAGACCAGGCCACTTTAGGTTGGAATGGGGTCCTGGGTGTACACCCACCACCGGAGTGGAAGAATGGGCGGCGCATCTTACAGATGACAAGTCGATGGTCAGAGGGCAGATCAGCTCCACGGTCGGTCCTGGTGTCAAGGACATGGGCTCGCATCCGCTGGTCCGTCACTATGTAGTCCAGCAGATGTTCTTGCTTGGACCCGGCATGCATCCATGACACACACACGCACAGGCACCCACTCGACACACACATGCACAGGCACCCACTCTACACACACACACAGGCACCCACTCTACACACACACGCACAGGCACCCACTCTACACACACACACACAGGCACCCACTCTACACACACACACACACAGGCACCCACTCGACACACACACGCACAGGCACCCACTCTACACACACACGCACAGGCACCTACTCCACACACACACAGGCACCCACTCTACACACACGCACAGGCACCCACTCTACACACACACACAGGCACCCACTCCACACACACACAGGCACCCACTCTACACACACGCACAGGCACCCACTCTACACACACACACAGGCACCCACTCTACACACACACACAGGCACCCACTCTACACACATGCACAGGCACCCACTCTACACACACACGCACAGGCACCCACTCCACACACACACAGGCACCCACTCCACACACGCACAGGCACCCACTCTACACACACGCACAGGCACCCACACGCGGACCACGATTAAGGAAGCCTCCTCTTGCATACTCGGCGTGGAGGCGCAAGAAGAGAATTGCTGCTCTGTTGTACTTCACGGAATGTTGCTTCCCGTGAGCGCAGCGCACAAATTGCCTCCGTCGTCATCATCATCGCCAAGACCAACTTCAGCCGGTCCCTCAAGGTCGCCACAATGTGAGATTCATTTTTTTGGTTAGAATATTAATTTATTTGTTTGAATTTATTTTTTATATAATCTTTTTTAATATATATTTTTTGGTTTGAATCTTTTTTTAGTTTGAACATTTATTTTTAGTTTGAATATACTTTTTGTTTGAATGTATTTTTTGGTTTGAATATTTTTTAAATATATTTTTTTGTTTGAATATTTTTTTTTGCTTTAATATATATTTGTAACAATTTTTTTATTTGAACATATTTTGTTTTTCACTTAAAACGTTCGTGAGTGCAGGAATTCGTATTCTATGGTTCTTTCGGTAAAGTCACGTAGATATGAAAAAATTTAATATTTCATTGTTATTAATTTTTCTATCTACGTGACTTAACCGAAAGAACCATAGAATACATATATTTTTTGTTTGAATATTTTTTTAGTTTGAATACATCTTTTAAATATTTATTTTTGTTTGAACATATTTTTTCGACTTAAAACTTGCCTGACTGCAGGAATTCCTTGTTATGTTTTTTGTCTGAATATATATATTTTGTTCTATCAGGAGCCCGCCCGCCATGTAATGAATGTTTGGCCACCCTTCGCCGAGCAGTGTCGCAGTGGCTTGGTAGCTGCCGATAATAAATATAACAAATAAATAACAAAAATCCCCTCCTCCCACAACAAAACTGTCCTCCTCTATACCTACGCACGCACCCGGCACAGATATATAATTCCCTCGCGGTGGCCTGGCTGAAAAATGAACCATTTCGTGCACTTCAAATATACATAGATTTATTTTTAAAAATAAATCACTTTGGTGATGCTGCTGTTGTTGGAGCCTCGGTGCACGATTTCAGTGAACGACAAATCAACAACGT